TTGCGCCTATATAAACGGATCTGAAATATGTTCATGCATGAAAGGTTACGCGCTAACACAATATGAACCATGTGCGTTTGTACGGTTTGCATTTTGACTACAGGTATTATTTTCTAAACATTCATTAATATCGTAACATGTCCAACCATCTGAACCAAATCGATAGCCGTTCATACAACTACATGTATAGCTACCATCGTTGTTTGTACATAGTTGATTACATGGACTAGGATTGAGGCTGCATTCATCGACATCTTCATATTCAGTCTGGCTTCCATATGTTAGCGCGTAACCTTTCATACATGAACATATTTCAGATCCGTTTATATAGGCGCAAATTTGCGAACAATTATGTCCAAAATCACATGGATCGCTAACGCTACATGTTAGGTTGTTATTATTTAGTTCAAAACCTTGTTCACATTCACATGTAAACGATCCTTCTATATTAATACAAACTTGGTCACATGGTCTAAATCGTTGGCATTCATTTATATCCACGCAAGTAAGTTTATCACTACTTAACTCGTAACCTTGAATACATGAACATGTATAACTTCCGACGGTGTTATTACAAATTTGACTACAATTATTAGACATGTTTTGACACTCATCTACGTCATAACAGTTTATGCCATCGCCTACATAGCCCGAATTACAAGCGCAGCTATAAGAACCAATTTGATTAGTACATGTAGCGACATTACTGCAGTTATTTGATCCAGTAATACACTCATTAACATCAATACATCCTCTATTATCACTATTCAGAGTATAGCCAGGTAAACACTGACAACTGTAACTCCCCTCTTCGTTAATACAAGTTTGACTGCATGCATGTGTGCCATTTAAACATTCGTCATAATCAGAACATTTCAAGCCATCACCGACATAACCTATTGGGCAATTACTACATGTATAGCCAGACATCGGAGCGATATTGTCCGTACAAGTAGCATTACTGAAGCATGGTTGATCTGCACATGCATTAAAATCTTGTGTACAATGACTACCA